AAAAATAGCAAAGGATTATTTTTTCTACAGATATTCCCTGTATAGTATAGTTAAAATTACAGATAAGAAAAATCACAGAAATTAATTAATTTGCACTATTTCCACCTTTTTAAAACCTGTTTTTGACGTTACAGTGTTCCACCTTTTCATCTGTTTTTTTTTTCTGGCATCTTAACCTTTTACCATTTGTTCCAGATTCTTCTTTAGTGTACTAAGGACGCACCTTAAAGACCAATTCATAGTAGATGGAGGGCACCTTAAGTGGAAAAGTTTGTCCTTCCTAATGTGATTTCAAAGAAGCGACAAGAAAAGAAAATCTAGTCTTCATTCTCTGCATTTTCAAAACATGTTACTGCTTTTCAAAGCTCCTTAAAGGTGATATGAGCCTTCAGCAATCAGGCTTTGTCAAACAAAACATCTTACGAAAACCTGCAGCTACATAATTTCATTATTTTTGTTCAAATATTCCTTTTTTGTAAAGCAAGGCATTAGGACAGAATATTTCTACAGTCGCTGTGAACAAGATGGTCAGCTGCAGTGACCAAACATTCTTTCTAACACATCAGTGTACCTGTGTTGTTTTAAAGCAGACTTGACAAAATGTGAACCTGCTCTCACCCTACCTGGTACGTCTGGTAGCTGATGGCCATGCCATATCTGCAGTACATGACGTAGTGTTCACAGTTGTACCACAGTAAGCTGTAGGTGACTGATCCCAGGAGCTTCTCAGCCCTTCGTGCCACCTCGTCCCCATCCAGAGGAGGCTGGCTGCACACTTTGTCCATGTGGTTGATCAGAATCTCTGAGCCGTAAGCGAAATCTGCCACAGAGTCCACTCTCACGCTGGCTACCTTGGTGATGACTCCTGCCAGCAGGCGGTTGTTTGTTACCATCTTGGCAACGGCAGATTTATTTTTGGAGATCACGGGTAGGATGTCCGGAATGAGATGAGCCACACGGTTGTCACCCAGGTAGATACCAAAATGAGTAAATAATGTCCTGGGCACCTCTAGCAAGTCACCGCGCTTGTACAGAGACAGGTCATATTTGGAGTCCTCTTCCTTTTTGGAAGATGCAAAGAAAAAGTTGAGCAGTTGGTAGAGAAACATGATGACAGTGTGAAGCAAGCAACCTGCTGCTGATCATTTTATTTATGTTGGGAGTGGGAGGGACCAGCGGGGTTAAGCGGATTAAAAATTGGTCAATGTTTCAGTACGATTTTGACAGAAATAAAGGAGCTTTCTCTAATGACTTTGCTGTGTGGCTGGGTTTTGAAACTTAGGCCTTGTTTGTGGTGTATTGAGGTCAACGGTGCTCATTAAGAAGGCTTACCTGGCAACAAGTGAAATCCTTATTCAAAAGGTCGCAGATATTGAGCCATCACTCCCAATTAAACAGCCGTTGTTATTTGCAAACTGGGCTGCAGCTCTTTGTATTTGTCTCATCGTTAGTCAGCACTTTCTGAAACGTCTGTGCATCACACAAATACAGAAACACATGATTGTAATGTCAGATTAGCTCAGTGATTCACAATATGTACTTGAATGTTTGAACTGATGGACAAATAAATTGATGGTTTGCTATTATTCAGCTCTTTTTTTTTGCACTTTCACAAGCAAACTATATTATTGTTTTAGTCACTTTGACAGAAAAATAACTGCTAAGATTAAAGATTATTTATGTATTCATGGATATTTGGACTCATATAAAGAATGAGACTCACAAAAGGGTTAAAAATAAAAATAAAGAGTTTATTAAGCAATTGTCATATTCACAGCTTCAGCTATAAAACAACCTCTATATGTACGTATATATACATCACATTAGTTTCCTCAGTTTTGTGACGACTCAAACGTTAGCAATAATAAATCACTGCATTCTCATATGAAAGATTTTGTCTATTTCCTCATGTTTTTTTTTTTTTTTAATGAGTGGACAGTAACAAATTATCGATGCATGTCATAATACAAAACATTCAACATTCTCTGAACAACAAAACTAAAAAGCAGAAGATAGAATCGAGAGTTCACATGTCGCGAGCAGGTTTTACAGTCGGTCCTCTTTGCCAAGTAAAAGTTCAGTTCAGTTTTCTTTACAGGTCCTTTAACCGGCCATCCACAGAGTGAAGGGGATAAGAATTGTGGGTAATGTAGTTGACAGGGCCATTCCGAAGCAGACCATGGAGACGATTCCAAGCAGCCCCGTAACAATGACGCTGCGCTGGTCTCTGATGATTGATTTCAGACACTGACAGAACTACAAGAGAAAAGAAAGGGTAAGAATTACATTGTGTTTTCTGTAAAATATGAACATTACATGATAGAAAAAGTAGAATTCTAACGTTTCTGATTGGTTTTCACCCTTAAAAGTGAGTTTTAGACTCACTTGAAACACATCTAGTCACCAGTATTAGCTGTAAATCGCTGTCAGGAACGATAACAACAACATGTCTGCAGCCCTGGAGCAACTTCAGGCCAAGCTGGATTACCAGTCAGGCAAAGCAGGGCTGCAGGACTCCCAGGGGCCCCTAAGACCCTCAGGTTCACTGCATGTTGTTTGGTTGCAGTGATGTGATTTGCACATTGGTTTGGGAAGATGCTCCAGAAGCTGAATGATCACAGTTTGTCCTGAAGTCTGCCAAAGTTTGATTTCTTTTACAGTCACATAATAATTTCAAAGCATTATTTCACACAACAGATTAAATATAATAAATGAGTGTGGATATTGTTTAGACCATCATCAAGTCACATCATTACAAACTGAGCATGTAGATTACGCGTTTGGTGCTGTGAGAAATCCTGTTTATTAGCTGAAGTTGTTTCTTCATCTGCCTTGTAGACAGGTCCACAATGGATGGACATCAAAAATTAAAGACACTGTGTTCATATGATGCTTTTTTTTTAACTAAATAAAGTTGTGTTTTATGAAACTACCACCTTCTAATTGTCAAACAAAAAAACAGGATCCTAGTTGTATTACTACTGGAATGTTAGCACTGGTTGTTTTTGCCTGGGAGACCCCTGACACTTTAATCCAACCATGGCTCAAGTAACTACAACAGACGTTAAAACGTGACGTGTACTTGAACACAGCCTGTCTTATAATTACGCACAGCATTGATGACATATGCAGAATACAGTACAGATCACCTTTACCGCCGTGATGCACTTAGGTAGATTTCAAAGACACGTGCAATGACAGATGATAGGTTAAACATCTGATTCTGCTATTCAAAGAAAATGTTGGATCTGTACCTTTTCTGTTTGGCGACTCGCTGCAGTTCCATATCTGCAGTAAGTCACAAAGTGCTCACAGTTATTCCACAGCAGACTGTACGGGAATGCTCCGAGGAGTTTCTCTGCTCTCTTGGCGACAGCCTCATTGGATAATGGATGCGTCTTCATCACCTTGTCCATGCGGTTAACCAGTACGCTGGAGCCATACGCAAAGTCATCCAAAGTGTCAATGCGCACCGTGGCGCACTTGTACATGCAGCCGATGATGAGTCTCTTGTTTGTGATGACAGAGCTGATGAGCTTGTTGTTGTTGGTAAACACAGGGAGGATGTCAGGGATCAGGTGAGCTACTTTGTTGTCACCTAAATAGATGCCGAAGTGAGTGAAAAGGGTTCTGGGAACCTCCAGCAGGTCTCCTCTCCGGAGCGGCGGCGGTGGACCGCGCTGCGCCGGACACTCACCGTCCAACCAGCTGGACTCAAAAAGTTTGAAGTTGGAGAGAAGAGAGAACTTCTCCACCAGGAACGTCAGCAGCTGCAGCATCGTGAGGGGTTTAGGGTGAAATATCCGAACGTGCAGCAGTGAAATGAGCTTTTTATCCCCAGTGGCACGAGGAGGAGAATAAGCTGAGAGGAAATCCCAAGGACATGATTGGCCACGAGTAACCTTGTGCACGTGCTCGTTTCCCTTTATTTTTTCACCTCTTCAGCATCTTGTATTTATTTACTGCTGAATTCTTTTCCTTTGGTGCACAGATGTGCATTTGTTCTCCACTAAACCACTTCTCAAGAAATGCGAAAAACAAGCGCATTACAGTAAATTAGGGTTTTAATTTAGAATTTCTTAAGAATTAAGTAGATAAACGTGTTGTGGGTGTATAGACAGAGAGAAACAGAGATGTTAAAAAATATACATGAAAATGCTTAAAAAGGTTTAGAATTTAAAACTTGTTGTTGTTAATAAATCATCCTTTATAAAGACTTTGTAGCCTGTAACTCATGTTAAACTAATAGCAGACAAAAGTAATTTCAATTTTCTGTTCTTTCTTTTTTTTTTGCCATTGTCTAGTGTCTGTTTTATGGACATCTATGAGAGGTGATCAGAAGAAGACAAAAATCGAAGGTTGAAAAAGAAAATTAAACTGATGAAACTTGTGAAAATGCATTTTTAGAGGTTTGTCCCAGCCGTGTGCAAAAGGCCACATTGCTACGGTATCTATAAAATTATTCATCCCCAACCCTTGGCAAGTTTTCTCCTTTTAAAGTGTTTCAACACTGAATCATCATCAATTTTTTTTGGCTTTATGACTAGAATTTACAGTAAACGACCCTTTCATGCTAAAGTGAAAACAGATTTCCACAAAGTTATGTCAATTAATAACAAATGTAAAAGACGGAATTGCACCCCCTTGATCCATCCATTATCTATACACCGCTTAATTCTCACTAGGGTCGCGGGGGGGCTGGAGTCTATCCCAGCTGACTTAAGGTGAAGGCAGGGGACACCCTGGACAGGTCACCAGTCTATCACAGGGTTACACTTAGAGACAGACAACCAAGCACACTCACATTCACACCTATGGACAATTTAGAATCACCAATTAACCTCAACATGTTTTTGGACTGTGTGGGAGGAAGCCGGAGAACCTGGAGAGAACCCACGCTGCACGGGGAGAACATGAAGACTCCACGCAGAAAGATCCTGGGTGTCCTCACTGGGACATGAACCAGCAACCCTCTTGCTGCGAGGCAACGATGCTAACCACGAGCCACCTTGCAGCCCTCTGAAAAGTCCAGTCACAGGTAAATCAGCACTCACCATAAAGGAAAAAGAACACTCCAAGCAACTCTGTCAAAAGTTTGTTTAAAAGCAGAAATCACTGAATGGATGCAAGAAAATTTCCAAGTCTCTGAATAATCCTTGGAGTACAGTTAAATTCATCCTAAATAAATGGAAGGAATAGGGCACATGTGTAAATCTGAGCAGAGCAGGCCAAACTCAAAAACTGATTGACTGTGCGTAAAAGAGACGAGTGAGGGAGGCGTGAGGGGGCCACCAAGACACCTATGACTCCTCTGAAGGAGTTACAGGCTTCAGCAGCTGAGATGACGGTAGAGACTGCACATACATCAGCTGTTGTCCAGATTCCTCCCCCGTCAGGCTATATGGGGGCCAAGAAAAAGCCACTGTTAAAACAAACTCTTGCTAAATCTTGACTGGAGTTTACCAGAAGACATGTGGAAGAAGATTCTTTGGTCTAACAAGATCAAAATTGCTCTGTTTGGCAGACACCAGACACTGCACATCATCACAGACACACCGTGCCCACTGTGAAGCACGGTGGTGGCAGCATCATTATGTGGAGATGCTTTTTAGCGAAAGGCCCTGAAAGGCTTGCAAAGGTAGAGGATAAAATGGATTGAAAGGGAAATCCTGGAGGACAACCTGATGTAGTCTGTAAGAGAACCGTGACTTCGGAAAGATTTGTTTTCCAGTGAGACAATGATGAGACGCGTGCAACCAAAGCTATACAGAAGCTGTTTAAAGAGAACAAGGTCAATGTTCTGGAGTGGCCGCGTCAAAACCCAGACCTAAATCTGAGTAAGAATTTGTGGCTGGACCCATGATCCCTGCGCAACCTAACAGATTTGAGCAGTTTTACAAAGACAAATGGCATACATTTTCACTGTCTACATGTGCAAGGCTGACTGAGACCTATCCACACTAATGCTGTAATTGCAGCCAAAGGTACATCTACTAAAAACTGACTTCAACGGGGCAAATGCAGTCATTTTATGTTTCATATTTTTAATGCATTGGCATTACTTTGTAGAAATCTGTTTCCACTTGGACATGAAAGTGCTTTTTTTTGTGCATTCTTGCCAAAAAAGCCAAATTATGCTGACGATGATTCAATGTCTAAAAGCAATAAAATGGGGATACTTTTAAGGAGTCGACACTGTATATACATTTGTATTATGTCTAGGTCTGACTGGCTAGTTTTCATTTTCAGGTGATGCTGTGGTGAGTTACTTTACAGCAGCAGTGCTTTAAAACATGAACTTAATGGGCGTGATGTAAAGAATCAACCATTAATGTAATGTGTATTATGAAGTCCTCCTCTCATTTAGAGCTGAGTAAACCAAATCTTACTGTTAATAATATGTGTCACCAATATCTCCACACTCACTTAAAGAGAGCAACAAGTGAATGGCATTTAATTATGTAGATGAACTAATAAATGTAAGTCATTAAACTTTTAATCCTTTTTCGCCTATTTTTTATTTTTTTTTAATGAATGACTGACAAATTTGTGAAGCTTTAATTACAAGAAGTACACAAATCATTTTGTAAATCAGCACCAAATGCCTCATTACATTAGCATCATTGCTGAAATACCAACACCTAAGTGCAATGGGTATAGAAAATTGTACTTAAGTTCAGTACCTAAACAATGTATTTAGGTACATTTCACCTCATATCTGAACAAGCTGAAAACACAGGTTCAAAACTGGGTTCGTTGTTCCATAACAAACTGAAGCATTGAAGGAGGGCTATAGAAAGAACAAATAAAATAACATTAAATACATTATATTGAGGGCTGCAAGGTGACTCGGTTAGCACCGTTGCCTCACAGCAAGAAGGTCGCCACTTTGCCTCCCAGTGAGGCCACCCGGGATCTTTCTGTGTGAAGGTTGCATGTTCTCCCCGTGCAGCGTGGGTTCTCTCCGGGTTCTCCGGCTTCCTCCCACAGTCCAAAAACATGTTGAGGTTCATTGGTGATTCTAAATTGTCTGTAGGTGTGAATGTGAGTGTGCTTGGTTGTCTGTCTCTAAGTGTGGCCCTGTGATAGACTGGTGACCTGTACTGATATAAAAAACTTTGCTCTCAGTTCAGCTATTTTCCACTTTGTTAAACTGATCACTGTCATGTTAATATCAGTTTGGATCAAAAGTCCAATTAGACAATTTTGCTGTTCAGTATCCAGACTGAGGAGTTTGTGGACTTGTAGACTCACAGTGGGCAGCCCTTTCTGACCCAGATTGAGATTCAGATTTGCTTTATTGTCACTGCAACGAGTACAATGAAAAGTAAGGTGCAGGCCTTTCACTGCAAAAAAATATCTAAAAAAAACTTTGCAAACAATTTTATACAGCATAACATATCTCTCTCTATATATTTTTTAAACTATATATAAAAATATTAAATTAAATCATAAGCACAGTGTATATTGCACAGAGTGGATATTGCACAGACATGGTGGCACTTGCATGTTAACAATATACATTCCCACCATCAATCCAGGATCAGTCTTGCCAAAAACAAGTTGTGTTTGATTGTCTACACTTTCCCAGAGGAACCATATGATGAGATGAAAACATTCCCCTGAGCAGATGACCTTAATCCTGTAGGCTTCAGTTTTACACTCATCGTTTAACCCAAATACTTGGAGGAGCACTGCAGCCTTTTTGATCTTGTGTCATTGGCTCATTTGTTACACCGCATTTGCTGACCTACATTCTGTAAAAAAATCCTCGCAAAAGGGATAAATGATTGCTGGTATGTAACTTAGACCAGCTGCTTTTTCACAAGAAAGCTGGTTTGACCCACAAAGCATACCATACTTTTGAGGAAGTGTGTGTGAGTGTGATTTATGAGTATACAGCTCTATACTGTGCTGCTCATTACAGGACATACGCAACACTGAGCAATGATGGGGATCATTCTCCCGTATCACTGTTTGTATAGTAGGTGTGCCACCGACGGCAAAATAAACTAAACCTGAGGTGGATTACTTAACATTAAATGAACGCTAACTGTCCTTGACTCTTCATTGAAATGTTTGCTTTTGTTGTTCAGTCACCTTAAGTTCTTCTGCATGGACAACAAAGTGTCCGTCTCTTTGCACGGTTTTACCTTGGATCACACCACATTCAGCTGAGTCGACTTATACCGTCTGTGGCCGCAGGTTGAACCCTGACGTGGCATTACAACAAACCTTTGCCCTCAGTCCTGGGGAGATTTACACCATGGTCAAACGGCTCCAGACTTATAGTTTTGGCCGATGGAGGACCCTACCACGGCTCTATAAATTTTAATTCCCGTTCACGCCACTTGGGAACTAAGCTGACTTTGTTTTTCAACCTTGAGAATTAAGTTGATTACTGAGGGGCGGACGTATTTCCTTAAGACGTGACTGTTTTTCAGAAAATACAATGATTCAGCGTCATATTCCAACGGCTTCATGTACACGGTGAATGTCTGGGAATTTCAGCCGCCACTCTCAATGAAGAAAACTAATAACGCTGCATTGCTTTGCATCCCGATAAGGTGCTGTACACACAATGTAAGAATGTCAGCCTGGCATCAGTGTCTGAATGCATCAGCAACAACAGCCCAAAACACATCTTAACATCCTGGACACAGTGTTCGGAGTGAGTGCCCATGTCTTCATGGCACTTAGAGGAAGAAAGAGACACTTTCCATCTGGTGTTTCGACACAAAGAGACCAGTTCAGCTAAAGTTCAGCACTGTTTAGGTTCATGGGCCTGGCAGTTCATTCTCAGGTCAGCGGGGCTTTATATCCGTCCTGGGCCTGGTTTTTTCCACACAATAAAACCGGGTCACACAGAGGTAGTTAAGGTAAGATTTATCATCTCATGTCAACAAGGGGCCCGCAGATGAACTGTTATTAGCTTTATTTTATCACAAGTATCGTCACTGTTTGTTTTAATGTAATAAAAAGGTGTGTTTGCCCGCAGCACCTTGAGGAAAAGCCTCAGAACAACCGTTAGCAACAACTACATCCATTTGAAACTGTACGGCAAACACAATATCGGAAGTTCAGTGTACAGCAGCTTTAAATAGAAGAAAACTAACTGCACACATTCAATCAAATTTGCTTAAAGCAGAGCATGCTTTTGCATTGCAGTGGTAAAACCTGCCCATAATTCATAATGTGAGAAAGAGGCTGATTAAAATCCATGCAAACAAACTTTTACCTTTTGTATGTGGGCCTCAAACTTATTTACCACAATAAAAGAATGTATTCCCATCAGCTGTCACCCAAAGAACGCCAGCAGCATAAAACAGGAGCCACACATGACAAGAGGTGACTGGGTTTACATACTGTCCTATAGATGTGCGTATACTGTGACGTCTTTGAACATCAGGTAGGTCAGCTAATCAGAAAGTGCAGAGCTGTCCTGACAGGAATTGAATTTGTCGTATAAAATCCGTCATGCTGCATGTTTGGCTGTTGAGAAGTGATGAAGCAAATAATGCATTTTGTATTCAGCCCTTGTTCTGGTTCAGAGTCTGGATTTTTAGAAATACCTGAGGTCATGAGACCAACTGTGGCTGAGGAGGGTGGAGGGTGGAGGGTGGGTTGGCTTTGGTCGTGATGTGCGATCGTGTAGCGCCACCGACACTCGGCCTTGTAGTACCCACGCACACACACACACACACACACACACACAAGGCTCGGCTGGTGTGGAGGAGACAACACATCAGCTCCTCTGATGGAGAGTTTATTGATCCGTCTCTAGGGTCGTGCGTGAGACACAGAATGGCATCGTGAAAGTTCTTTGCTGAAAATGAAAAGTAGTTCTATGTTTTACTCAACAAATAACAAACACCTGGTATTTTTTTTTAAGTGAGACTATGTTTTGACTTTTGTGTGAAGATTGAGATGCAACAGGTGCAAAATTTAAACTGACTTATTCATCATTTTTTAATGATGATTCTAATATATATATATATATTGCTTTTGAATAGAGAAGCATACTATTGGCTTTGATATGAGGCTATTTTCATCAAACAGCAGCTCCCTCTCATAGTAGAATTAACATTTCATCATACATACTTTTATCTTAATGGCCCACTGGCAGGTGCAGGCATAAAATATAATGCCTTCCAAATGTGCAAAAAAAGAAGAAAACTACCTCATCTTTCATGTTACATATGTCATATTTATTTTTAGGTCACATTTTCACACTAATACTTTAACCTTTTACCCTGACAGCCGTTATCTGCTTGTTCATTTTGGGCTGTTGCTAATATTTCATTTTAACATCATTTATTGGCTCTTACTGATGATGATGATGATGTCGATATCATTGTGCCATCCCTAC